AGGCTAAGGCAAAGTGCATCATAGTCAAGTCAGCTTTATTGTCCCTTTATTCACATGCCAGACATGCAGATGAATCAAAATTACGTTTCTCACTGCCCCATGTGTGAACAAAGACAGGACAAACAATAAAGTACAGGACAAGACAGCCTGAAGTACTGTAAGGTATTGTATTCTATTCTATCCTATCACAAGTGTAACAAGTAACATTATTGTAATTATACCTAAACATCATAGTAAATGAATAAAGCTCAACAAAATTAAAGTGTGCAGTACATTGTAGTCAGATCAGATCAGTAGCATAAAAAAGAGTTCAGCAGGCACTGAAAAATTTTCGGCATTGACTACAACCCTTCTGGGGCTAAGTCCCCCCTATCCCTCAATCCTAGTGACGCCCCTGCATATATATTTATAATGTCCAGGTGTTCATTATATAAACCTATATTTAAGTAAAACAAAACGGAAAAAATAGGAACACCTGACAACCACCGTTGCCATGGAAACCTAAGCGACATGTGGCAACTCTTAGTATTGGTGCGTATGCGCGTCACAATCGGGCAAGTGGGCAGGAGTCACGGGCATTCCTCCTCACTCACACACGACTCAGATTTGGAAGAAAACCACCAGAGCAGCGGGCGGAAAATTGAAGAAACAAATGCTGCTGACCGGCGACCTGCAGCCGCATCGCTGTCTTTGTACGTCCTCCTAGCTCTGCTTCTCATATAATTAATGGAAAAATATGTTTAAGTGAGTAACGAACTTTGAAATCATTGAAAGCAAACCGGCAAAAGAAACGTGAGAACAATACTCATTTTTTATATCAGTGAATTAGCCAATGACTTTATTAAATTATGAATATTACTCTCCCGTGTCTAAGATCACTTTACACACTTAAATGAGAATCTCCACTATGGGAAAATGAAAGTGATAGTTACATCATTGAAGTTAAATTAATTTAATTAACTTTTATAAGAAAAAAAAAATGCCAGACCTTGTCAATTATGAACCGAGTATAAAATTAAATATATAAGAAAATAAATGAATTAAGACTTGATAAAGAACAGACATTGATAAGGATATGACATACATATTGTAACGAGCACAAGGGATGTGAACTTAGAATGACCCAAAATTCGTCTAGAAACCACCCTGTGTATACCTCACTTACTCTTTATGCATATGTATTATTTAGGTATACCTCAGTTTTTAGCTTTAACCATGTGAGAAAAAGGTACTTAATTATTTTTCTAGAAAGATGATATTTTATTTTAATAGTTTTACATGAAATTGTATATATTTCAATATTATATTTTTCTAAGATGAGAAAATTGTAAAATATGATTGTTTACCCTACAAAGAATAAGCTTTTTTGTTACTCCCACCATACATTCTTTATTTAAAGGGTACGCTATTATATTTCAATAGTATTATTATATTAAGGTTGTATAATTGATATTTTTGTAAAGAAAACAATATATATTATTTTTGTTAATGGAAAGATTCATTTAAGTTCTGAAAATTATGCAAGTATACATTAAGAAGAACTGTATAAGTGCTCTGAGTAGACTTTAAAATTCAAAGTATATACAGTGCTAAATCCTGAAACTAAAGCTATAATCATAGAGAGAGAGAGAGAGAGATCAGAGAGGAGTGCCATACAACAACCTGAAAGAGTATTTCATTATCGTGAATATCTGAGGTAAGAAAGAACATTCCACTATAATTATATAATTAATAAAGTCATGAACTACTGTACAATTGATTTACAGAAGAAAAGTAAGTAACTATTTGAGATTAAACTGAAAATTAGAGATAAAGAGTATGTCTTCTTCACAGCTCGAGGCTGGCACATGGCACAGGGCACTTGAACAACATCCGATGTGTCTCTCTTATTATTAAGAATTTAAAACCTATTTAAAGAGTAAGTGTTCTTAGCATTTATAATTGTAAAATATTATAATATTTAATCAAATTTTACTGTAATATATTACTCAGATCGTATATAATGACAAATATTATATGTAATTTGTTTGTTTGTAAGAAACATTGTTTTTCATCTTTCAAGAAATTATTTACTTATATTTAATAACTTTAAATTGTTTATCATTCCTAAACTAGAATAATTATTTCTTTTCTAGGAATGGGTTTTATTTTATTTTTTTATGGTTTATTTGGTTCTGCTGAAGTTGTGATTTATTCGTCCCTGGTGCTGTGAACAAGAGTGAAAGGGCCCAGGATATTGATGAAGACCAGGAAAGAAGATACCTGAGAAGAACAAGTAGTGTAAAAGTGACAGGTTGGAATACAAATATTTGGACATTTTTGTAGATGAAAATTTATTTTACTGTAGAAGTGTAATGATCTTTGACTCAATATATCATCAATTGTAAGCTCATTGAGTGGTTTTATATTACCCCTTCTCTCAGTTACCTCTAAGGCTGAAGATAGATCCTAAGTAACCGTTATGAATATATATATTTTTAGTGTGGGTTCTAAAGAAAACTTTTGGAGAAACCACACATTAGATTAACAGATAGTGCCTCTCTGGATAAAGTCTTAGTGGTTCCCAGAGCAAAGAGAATAGGGTCTTTGCTAAGGAGCATAGAAAAGGGTGGGCGCTTTAGCAGAGGAGGTGCTAGGAAAAACATCTGGGAAAGGAATGCCTCAAGGAAAAGATACATAGTGGTGGAGTGAGGAAGTTCAAGTTAAGATCAAAGAAAAGAAGGAGGCGAGAAAATCAGGTAGAGAGGAAGATCGAGCAGCAGCAAAATCAGCCAATAAAGAGGCAAAGAAAGCAGTAGCACAAGCCAAAGTAAGAGTAATGGGCGAAATCTATGAAGAGTTGGAAACAACAGAATGACAGAAAAAGATATATTTGTTAGCAAAGAGGAGAAATAGAGCGACAAAAGATTTCACACAGATAAAACAGGTAAAGGATGGAGAAGGAAGACTACTCAGACGAGAATGAAATTAGGAATAGATGGAAGGTCTACTTTGAAAAGCTACTAAATGAGGAGAATGAGAGGAGAGTTTTTGGAGAAGGTACATCAAATGAGAGAGAAACGCCAGAAATAGAAAGACAAGAAGTAAGGGAGGCCTTGAAGAAAATGAAAAATGCAAAAGCTACTGGACCCGATGAAGTACCAGCAGAAGCGTGGAAAAGTTTGGGCGATGATTGAGTGGATCTCTTGTGGGATCTTTTCAGGAGGATCTATGATCAAGGAAAGATGCCCAATGCATGGAGGGAGAGTGTGATCATACCAATATATAAAGAAAAGGGGGACATACAAGATTGCGGGAACTATCGAGGAATCAAACTGATGTCACATACAATGAAAATATGGGAAAGAATCATAGAAAGGAGGATTAGAAATGAAACTCAGATAGATGACCAACAGTTTGGGTTCATGCCTGGAAGAGGGACAACGGGTGCCATCTTTGCTGTTAGGCAAATGATGGAGAAATATGGGGAAAAAACAGAGAAAGTTCCATATGGTATTTATAGACTTTGAAAAAGCGTATGATAGGGTGCCAAGAGGAGAAGTATGGAGGTGTTTGAAGGAAAGGAATGTGTCTGAAAAGTATGTCAGATTAGTGCAGGATATGTATGAGGGGGCAACAACGCAAGCAAGGTCGAGCGCTGGACTGACAGAAAAATTCTCTGTCCCAGTTGGACTCCATCAAGGGTCTTCTCTGAGTCCGTACATCTTTGACCTGATAATGGAAGTTTTGGGCCAAAACATCATCACACCAGCCCCTTCGGATATGTTGTTTGCGGACGACATAGTCCTAATCGATACCACCAGAGAAAGGGTAGAAAGAAAACTAGAAGCGTGGAGAAAATAAATGGAGGATAGAGGGCTAAAGATCAGCCGTAAGAAAACAGAATACATGGTTTTCAATGGAGAAGAGGAAATTGGAGAAATTATGTTATTGGGGTAAAAGGTGAAAAAGGTCAATAACTTTAAATACCTTGGTTCGCATTTAACATCAGACGGAAATTTCGATGTCGAAATATACCATAGGATAAAATCTGGGTGGAATAATTGTAAAAACGTGTCTGGAGTGCTATGCGACAAGAAGATCAGCGCAAATTTCATAAAACGGTAGTAAGACCTGCAATGATCTATGGTGCGGAAGCGTGGCCTATTTAAAAGTCACAGAAGAAACTGGACGTAGCCGAAATGAAGATGTTGAGGTGGATGTGCGGAGTAACAAAACTTGATAAGATCAGGAATGAAAGAATTAGAGGGACAACTAAGGTGGTAGAAGCTTCAAAGAAAGTGCTGGAGCGGAGGCCTCAATGGTATGGTCACGTTAAAAGAAGAGATGGACAATACCTGGGAAATAGAATCTCTGATATGATAGTGGAAGTTAGAAGAAGGAGGGGGAGACCAAAGAGACGCTGGAAAGATTGTGTACAAGATGATCTAAGAAGCAAAGGAATTGATCTAAATAGAGGTGAATATGAAAACCGAGGCGTTTGGAAACGGCTGACCAGGAACAGCGACCCCGTATAGAAACGGGAGAAAGCTGAGGAATAATATAAATATATATATATATATACATACACACACACACACACATATATATATATATATATATTTGTGTGTGTCTCTATATATATATTTATTTATCTATCCATCTCTACACACACACATATATATATATATATATATTCATATGTGTATATATATACATATATGTGTATACAGACAGATATAGATATAGGCATGTGTGTGTCGGTCTTCTTTCGTTTAATCATCAAAACGAAATACTTCGTACGTCATTTTCATATAGAATACATGAATCTTTTTATTTTAATTACAATAAAGAGGATCATAGTACAAGCTAGAACCCTATTTTCAATAAATGAAAAAGTCTTCCAAATCAGTTGCCATATTGAGGAGGTTGAGGAGCCGTCATGTATTTTGACATCCTTGTTTAGTAAAGGCAAACATGAGTTTACCTGAACAAAAACACCATGGAAAATTAAGTAAGCATAAATCATAAAAGTTTATTTTTCTTGAAAAATCTAAATATTAAAAATGTTTTGTACAGCATAAATCAGTAAATGTGTTCCTAAAAGCTTGGGACAATTACTCACCAATAGTATCAAGAAGTTTGTTACCTTTAGATGAAATATAATGCTATTTATTCCCCACGAGATATCTTCTCTGTGTTAAAATATATTATGTATATGGATTCTCTTTTGTATGTAGTCTCAAAAATACCTCAATAGATTAGTTATTATAGATATCATAGCTTTAGCATATCACACAACAGTATGGCTTCTCCTTTATATGCAATATAATATGATTCACAAGAGTTGTTTCATGTGCAGCCTTATTGCAAATATTACAGGAGTATGGTTACTTCATTGCATGTACTCTTAAATGGCTCATGTGATTATGGTTATGTGAGAATGCCTTTTAGGAAATATCGTAACTGTATGGCTTCCGCTTTCTATGTAATCTGATATGCTTTACTAGAATGTGGAGGCCACATTGTATGTACTTTGTATGTACTCTCCTATGCTTTACTAAAGAACTTTTCTCAGAGAAGGTCTTGCTGCAAAGCTCACAGCGGAATGGCTTCTCCTTTGTATGTACTCTTATGTGCTTTACTAGAGAACTTTTCTCAGAGAAGGTCTTGCTGCAAAGGTCACAGCGGAATGGCTTCTCCTTTGTATGTACTTTCATGTGTCTTACTAGATTACCTGTCTCAGAGGTCTTGCTACAAATCTCACAACTGAATGGCTTCTCCTTTGTATGTACTCTCATGTGCCTTACTAGATGGCCTTTCTCATAGAAGGTCTTGCTGCAAATCTCACAGCTGAATGGCTTCTCCATTGTATGCACTCTCTTGTGCTTTACTAGAGTACCTTTCACAGAGAAGGCCTTGTTGCAAATCTCACAGCTGATGGGCTTCTCCTTTCTATGTACTCTCATGTGTCTTGCTAGATGGCCTTTCTCATAGGTCTTGCTACAAATCTCACATCTGAATGGCTTCTCCTCTGTATGCACTCTCATGTGATCTACTAGAGTATCTTTCACAGAAAAGGCCTTGCTGCAAATCTCACAGCTGAATGGCTTCTCCTTTGTATGTGCTCTCATGTGCTTTACTAGAGTACATTTCTCAGAGAAGGTCTTGCTGCAAATCTCACAGCTGAAAGGCTTCTTTTTTGTGTGCACTCTCATGTGCTTTACTAGATTACCTGTCTCGGAGAAGGCCTTGCTGCAAATGTCACAGCTGAATGGCTTCTCCTTTGTATGTACTCTCATGTGCCTTGCTAAATGGCTTTTCTCATAGGTCTTACTGCAAATCTCACATCTGAATGGCTTCTCCTTTGTATGTACTCTCTGTGCTGTACTAGAATACTTTTCTCTGAGAAGGCCTTGCTGCAAATCTCACAGCTGAATGGATTATCTTTTGTTTGTACTCCCATGTGTTTTATTAGAGTACATTTCTTTGAGAAGGCCTTGCTGCAAATCTCACATCTGAATGGCTTCTCCTTTGTGTGTACTCTCATGTGTCTTGCTAGATGGCCTTTCTCATAGAAGGTCTTGCCACAAATCTCACATCTGAATGGCTTCTCCTTTGTATGTACTTTCATGTGCCTTGATAGATGGCCCTTCTCATAGAAGGTTTTGCTGCAATTCTCACATATGAATGACTTCTCCTTTGTATGTACTCTCATGTGCTTTACAAGAGTACCTTTCAGAGAGAAGGCCTTGCTGCAAATCCCACATCTGAAAGGGTTTTCCTTTGTATGCACTCTCATGTGATCTACTAGAGTACATTTCTCATAGAAGGTCTTACTGCAAATCTCACATCTGAATGGCTTCTCCTTTGTATGTACTCTCATGTGCTTTACTATAGTACTTTTCTGAGAGAAGGCCTTGCTGCAAATCTCACAGCTGAATGGCTTCTCCTTGGTATGCACTCTCATGTGCTCTACTAGATGACCTTTATGAGAGAAGGCCTCACTGCAAATCTCACAGCTGAATGGCTTTTCCTTTGTATGCACTCTCATGTGATCTACTAGAATATCTTTCACAGAAAAGGCCTTGCTGCAAATCTCACAGCTGAACGGCCTTTCCTTTGTATGTACTCTCATGTGCTTTGCTATAGCACCTTTCTGAGAGAAGGCCTTGCAGCAAATCTTACAGCTGAATGGCTTCTCCTTTGTATGCACTCTCGTGTGCTTTACTGTAGTACCTTTCTGAGAGAAGGCCTTGCTGCAAATCTCACAGCTGAATGGCTTCTTTTTTGTGTGAACTCTCATATCAATGTTGATATAATTCTTATGAGGAAATTTCTTGCCACATCCCTCACATACAAAACTTTTCAATTTGGCTTCCACTTTTGGTTGTGTATCCTGATTAAGAGTTTCCTTATGCATCGCCTGATCTCCATCTGATGAATTCTTATTCAGACAATTCTCAACCACAAAAGGCGTTCTTAACGTGCCTTTCCGATCCTGAACCATATTATACATGTTCTTTGCATTTCCTTCATGTCTTAGTTCATCAAAACTATGAAAGAAAAGACATTCATGTTTCACTTTCTCGTTGTTCACCCTCTCTTTGTCTGCATAATCAAACGGTTCTTCTTTAATTTCAATACAAGCATCCTCGGAAATATCTTCACTGAGCTCTTCTTTGATACTGGCTCCTGTGCCATAAATTTCCTCGTCCGTGAGTGGGGCCAGAGGCATCCTAGTCGGCGAGGATACTCATCGTCATCCTGTGCATGGAATGTATGCCAAGTAATATATGCCAACTATATAATAATTTTGATACTAAAATGATCATAAATGATTTTATATTACTTAATATAACAATAACCATACTTACAATAACAAGACAATTCATTTCATAACGTATTCCAACATGTTTACTTACAGCAAAGTAATTAATAATTATGATATACATATATGTATGTAAAATAAACCCTCTTCTATCTATCTACTTATCTGTGGGTGAAATTGTTAAAAATCATGTGTAACAATACTGATACTAATATTAACAATAATGCCAATGGTAATGGTCATTTTTATCACAACAGTGCCAATACCAGTGCCAGAAACAGTAAAACTAAGAATTATTATACCAAACATTATATCAGTAATAACAATAATAATGCTAATATTCTTCATAATATAAAATATTGTAAAAATGCGGATACTTATAATACAAGTAAATAATATTGGTGATGTGATAACTATATATAAGTAACGATAAACGAGATACCGGTGTGTATATATATGTGTGTAGATAAATCTAAATATAAAAACAAATATATACATGAATAAACATCTTTATATATATTTATATATATATATATATATATGCATATACAAACATAGTATGTATGTATGTATATGTGTGTGCACATAAATCAATAAATCTGTATACATCTAAATACACACACACACGCATACACAGACACATACACGCACTCACACACACAAAAACACAAACAAAGGCACACACACATCTATCTATATATATGTATACGTAATGTTGGTGCTCCTACTGGGTAATGGTTAATAGCTAAAACAAATAAATGTGCTAAAAATCAAGGTCTTATGGCCCTACTAGATGAGTATATTTTCTTGTAACAACTTACAAATATACCTATAGACATATATATAAATATATATACATGCATATACATAAATATATATATATATATATATATATATATATATATATATATGCCTATACATATTTACATATATAAATATATATCATATGTTTTTGTTTTTTGTTTTTTACTGATGCTGTGTTTGGCGAATTAATTGGCACAATGTTGACATGCTGATTATTTATACTAGGGTGATTAACCAATGAGCCTTGCCCAAGGGAGTAGTTAGGTAATTTTTGGAGTTTCTCAATCCACCATGCACGCACCACTAGCGCGTGCTCATAGATATATGCGTATCTCTCTCTCTCTCTCTCTCTGTATATATATATATATATAGAGAGAGAGAGAGATATATAGATAGATAGATAGATATAATGTATATATAAATATATATGTATACATATACTTTTTTTACATAAATACATTTTTATGTATATAGCATAACGTGTATGTGTATATATATGTGCGTGTGTGCCTATATATATGTATTTTTTTTTATAGTGCACACTATAATGCAGGGCTCATTATAATGGAGTGCGTATGTGTGTCCATGCAGACACAGTTCAAACGTTTTTGCATGAGTATGAGCGCGTCTGCTAGGAAGTACGCAGGCATATATGTGTGCGCGTACATGTGTGTATGTGTCCATGTGTGTGTATACAAGAGAAGCAATACACATGCGCGTTTAAATTTACATATGGGACACGTATGCACATATGCAGCCATGTGTATGAAAGTATGTCTGTGCGTATTGTTATGTGTAAGAGTACATGCATGTCATGTGTGTGTTCCCCTGTTTGTACTTGATGGTATATATGTAAATAGATATGTATATTTGTGTGTATATGTATTTATATATACATACATATGTATGTGCATCTATATGAATTACATGTATAGGTGTATACATATATATGCGGGTGTACTCATAAACGTGTGCATACGCGTGTGCGTGTTCACATGTATGGTTGTATGTGTATGTATAGTCATACGTACGTGTACAAGGTGTATATGAATGTGTTCGTATGTAGGTAGGTGTGTATACATATGTACACACATGGAGGTACATGTGACGTGCGCATGTCTATGAAATTGCACGGGTGTATATATATATATTGTGTATGTGTCCATGTGTGTGTATGCAGGTATGTATGTGTGTGTACATGTTCAAGGCTATGTTTGTGTATACACAGTTATATATAAATATATATATATGTATATATATATATATTCGTATAGTTATGAGTACAAGATGTATATGATATTTATGTAAATATATGCATATATGTGTGTATACATATATATATATATATATGCTCACACTTGTGCACATGAATATATATATATATATATATATATATATATGTGTGTGTGTGTGTGTGTGTGAGCGAGAGAGAGAATATACATGTGTAAATATGTATAAATATATACACATATTGATAGAAGGATAGATATAGTATGTATAGTTTATGTATATTAACACACATATACACACAAACACACATATACATTATATATATATATATATATATATATATATATATATATAAATATATATATTATATATACTTTATGTATATGTATATGTATATATATATATATACATTATGTATACTTTATGTATATGTATATATATATATATATATATATATATATATATGTAAATATACATTATGTATACTTTATATATGTATATATAAATATATGAATATATATTAAATATATTATATATATACTATATACATGCATACATATATGTATATGTATGCATGTACTATATACACACACATACTATATATGTGTGTGTATGGATAAATAAGTGTAGATATTTACACATGTATATATATGTATATATAGTGATAGAAAGGCAGATATAGTATGCATTGTATATATGATATAATATATATATTTTTTATACATAATACATATTGATATATAAATTTATGAATATATATGTATACAGTAAATATGTTCACTTAAATACATTCTGCGTATTTGTATGCATGAATATATGAATCAGAACGAAATACCTGAACTAATTATCCCATGACCTTACCTTATTTCTTCACACACTCTCTGTCCCGGTAAATTCGTCTCAGCTGAGTGACCGCGCATATGTATATATATTCACATATACATATATATGCATACATATACATGCGTCTATACGCAAATATATACAGATGTATACGTATGTACATCTGTATATATTTGCGTATATACACAAATATATACATGTGTATACATATGAACACAAATATATGCATATAAATATCTATACACACATATATAATCACGTTTTTAAAAAATGTATACATATGAACACAAATATATACATATAAATAACTATACACACACATATATAATCATGTTTTTAAAAACAGATTTACTTTTGTTATTAGTTACTTTGATCAGTCAATCAATCATTTGGAGCTAACGCCGGCAGGGGCGCATAGCCGCATCCACCCCTCGCTTCCACCTGCGAGGGTCTCTCATAGCGAACCGCCAGGCAGGGGCCCGGCCTATCTCTAGTTCCTCTCGACAGGTTTGATCGATCTGCCCAAGCCACGACCTTCTTGGTCGTCCCACAGGCCTCCTCCACCCAGGGTTGTCACGGACAGACAACCTGGTGGGCAGGGTCATCCTGCAGGAGTCGAGCCAAGTGGCCGTATAGCATGAGTTGGCGATCATGGATTATGCAAGTAACAGGTCCTGTGCCAGTCTCCCGGTGCAACCGTTGGTTGGACACATGGTCCCGCCATGATCCGGCACAAGAAGCTTGAAAACACGCAACTTGGTCATTCTGCACAGGTACCGGCATTTCCAAATGCTCGTGTCGAGAGATTTCATAACCCCTGCTGCCAGGCCAATCTGTCAACTGACTTCCTGGTCTGACAGACCAGAGTTGTGAACTGCACTACCGAGGTATATAAAGCTCTTGGTAACTTCAATGTTTTCACCGCAAGCATGTACCAACTGCACAGGGTCTCCTAGTAGGCCTCCAAAATCCTGGATCTTGGTCTTGGTCCAGGAGACCTTTAGCCCCAGGGGCTCCTCTTCATTGCTGAATGCATCAAGAGCCGCCACTAGGGTTTCCAGAAATTCAGATAGAATGGCAACATCATCAGCAAAGTCAAGGTCAGTAACCTTGATATTGCCCAGAGTTGCTCCACAGTGACTTTGGACAGTAGCTCTACCCAGTATCCAATCCATGCAAGTGTTGAAAGGTGTTGGTGCAAGAACACAGCCTTGCCTCACCCCTGCACTAACAGGGAAGAAGCTCAACAGGCCCCCACCACACTTTACAGCACTTTTAGTGCCTGTATACAGGTTTACTATTAATCCAACAATCCTTGTTGGAATTCCTCTTAGACTCAGGATCTCCCAGAGTGATTCGCGATGTATTGTATCAAACACCTTCATAAGGTTGATGTAGGCTGCATGCAGCCCACGACCGAACTCACGACGGCACTCAACAATGACTCGAAGCGCCAGGATGA